GGGGGGGGGTGCGTTCTCCTTTTGGCAGCCCGCAATTCGGATGACCGCGAGAAAAAGCCCCAGCCGGGGCAGGTTCCAACGGATCGCCCTCGGCGGGCCCCACCTGCTGCTCGGCATTGTGTGTGCATGTGTGTGAGTATGCATGTGTGTGAGTGTGTGTGTGTGCGTGTGTGTGTGCGTGTGCGTGTGCGTGTGCGTGTGTGCGTGTGTGCGCGCGTGTGCGGAGGGCTACTCGGGGCAGGGGGGTCCTTGCGATCTGCCAGGTGGAGGTGGGCTGGCTGACCCGGGCGGGGGCCGGATGGGTGTCCCCTCATCAGCCGGGGGGGCGACCGCCGCCAGGCCGGGAGGGAGGCGATCGCACCGGTCTCCCCTTTCCACCTATCCTGCTTGCCTTGCTTTTGCTCTTCCCTCTCCTCGGACCTTGCTCTGGCCATCCCTCGCATCGCGCACTACCAGCACGCAGTCATGCTTTCCTGGCGGGTGCTTGGCATGCAGGCCGGTCGGCATTCCGCCTGGTGGAGCCGACCAGCTGCACCGAGCACCGCGCGGCTGTGCCGGGCCTTTGCCGCCGCCGCCATCCCGAAGCCGAAGCCGAAGCCGGCCGTGTCCGAGCCGCCGGCAGCCCCGGCCGATTCGACATCCTTCCTGGATAACCTGCTTGCGCAGCACCGCCGAAGCACCCGCGAGGAGAAGCCGGCAGCCCACTTGTCGCATCTGCCCTCGCCGGCGGGGGCCCCCTCGGTGAAGGCCTTCGTCGCAAGTGCGCCGGATCAGCCGCCCGCCCCGAGCCCTGTCCGCGGCGCGAGGGCTGGTGCCTCTCCCCTGCTGGAGAAGCTTGTCACCTTTTCCCAGTACCCGGATGCCTCGGTCTTTACCAGGATGCAGCCGTCCGGGCTCAGCACCGAATCCGTCGTCCCATGGACGCCGGAGCTCCAGAAGTTCATGGCTTTTGCCGAGGGCCACCCGAGCATTGGAACGGCCCTTCACCAGTATGTTGCCCAGGAAATTGGCTTCGACGCAGAGTCCTCGGGGGAAGCCCCCCCCGAGGACCCGGCCGCCGACGCGGAGAAGGACATCCTGGAGCGGACAATCTCCCCGAAGCATGCTCACCATGCCCAGGCGTATGCGAAGCTGCTCGGCCAGCCGACAGCGCCGCCACTGCCGCGCTTCGAGAGTTTCCTCCGAGACTACCAGGCGGATTGCATCAATGCCTCGTTGGCGGCCCTCTTCGAGCTGGGCGAGCGCCGACAGGCGGTGTCCCTGCCGGTGGGGTCCGGCAAGACGGTCATCATGGCCGGGGTCGTGGGCCGGATGATCTTGCGGTATGAACGCGCGGACGAGCGCCGGGCCCGGCTGACCGGCCTCATGGGCAAATTGCATCACGCGGATCTGGCTCCTCAGCTCGTTCCCACCGGGCAGCGGGCTCTGGTGCTGGCCCATCGCGAGGAGCTGCTTGCCCAGGCGGCCAGACGCATTTCCGGGGCCTTCCCCCAGCTGACGGTGGAGGTCATCCGCGGCACCGCCCGGCCCTCGGCCAAGGCCAAGCCCCCGGCGGCCCATGTGGTCGTCGGGTCGGTGGCCAGTCTTGGTCGCAGTGGCCCGAATGGCAGCTTTTCGCCGCGTTTGCGCGCGCTGAACCCGGCGGATTTCGATCTGATCATCATTGATGAGGCGCATCATTCGGCGGCCCAGGTGTACCAGCGCATCCTGGAGTACTTCCTTGGGGCCCCGAAGTTGGTGGCCAAGTCCGGGGCCGACCCGGAGCCGGCGGATCCCGACGCGCCTGCCAGCGAGCATGAGGACGAGTCGGCCCCTTCGGCGGCCGAGGCCCGGGCCAACTCCCCTGGGGCCGATCTTTTGCACGCGCCCAATCCCGACATCCTGTTGTGGGGCTGCTCGGCCACCCTGCGCCGGCATGATGGCCTGGCCCTGAATTCCATCTTCAACGCCATCATCTACCACCAGGGGTTCGTGCGAATGCTGGAGCTGGGATGGCTGGCGCCCATGCGCATGCTTTCCGTCAGGACGCAGCTGGAGATGAAAAACGGCCTGGCCATGACGGCCGGGACCGACTTCAATTTGTCCTTCCTCGAGCGGCAGCTCAATGTCCCGGCGCGGAATCGCCTCATCGTGGACACATACCTGTCGGAGGTCCGGGCCAAGGGCCGCCGGAAGACCCTGGTCTTCGCGGTGGACATCCGCCATGTCAACAGCCTGATCGAGGCCTTCAATGAGGCCGGCATCGAGGCCGCCGGCATCACGGCCGCCACGCCGGCCCCCGAACGGGAGCTTTTGATGTGTCGCTTCGCCCTGGCCGACCAGGCGCTCGATGGTGCCGGGCAACTTGGCCCGGGGGGTTCCCTCCCGGGTGATCAGTCGGCCTCCGAGCCGGCGGCCGATGACGGCCAAGTGTGGGCCCATCCAGCGGCGTCTGCTGCCGCTGGCGGCCATACCTCCAGACGGCCCCTGCCGGTGCTGATCAATTGCACTGTCCTGACCGAGGGCACGGATGTGCCGTTTGTGGATTCCATCCTGCTCGCGCGGCCGACCCGGTCACCGGTGCTCTTCATGCAGATGCTGGGCCGGGGCCTGCGCCTTTTCCCCGGCAAGAAGGACTGCCTGTTTGTGGACTTCGTGGATTTCATCGACGAGGCCAACATGTCGGCAGCCATCGGCCTGCCGACCCTCTTCGGCCTGGATCCGTCTGAGGTTACCTTTGATGGGAGGCAAACCAGCGGCCAATTTATCAACAACCAGGACGTCCTCTCCTTCCTGGGTGACCAGCGCAGCAAGCTGGAGCGGTGCGCCCTCTCTTGTTCCTCCCTCCTTCCCCCTGCCTCTCGCTACGGGGCCCGTCCCTCCCTCCCCCCCCCCCCTCTCTCTCTCTCTCTCTCTCTCTCTCTCTCTCTCGCTCTCCTGTCCTGCCTCTGCTTCGCTGACGGGCGGTCATGCTCTTGTCACTTGTCCCTCCTTTGCCCATCTCCGCCTCTGCTGGTGCCCCTCCGGCTCGATGTTTATGCCGGCGCTTGGGCTGCGCACTTCTCGCCTGGTATGCGAGCAGCTTGCTCCTGGATAGCTCTTTCGCAGCGCACAAGCGCCTGTTCGAGCTAAACCCCCTGGCTCTCTTGTCGACCCAAAGCACGGAAATCCGCGCGTCCGGCAAGAGATCCCAGACGCGACAGGTGGCCAACTTCGCCTTCCGCCGGGCGGATCTTCTCAAAATGTCCCCGTTCGAGTGCGTCCCATCCCCCGCCCGCCCACCCAGGGCCGATGGAGCTGCCCACTGGCATCCACTATCTCACCGTGTCCTCCTCTTCCCCCTCCCCCTGCCCTTCCTCGTCATCAGCTGGGTCTGTGTTCCCAACCCCGATACCGGAGAGGACGACTTCCTCCTAAACATGGGCAACTCCAATACCCTGCGCATTCAGAAGTTCCCCCCGCCGGATCCCGAGCTGCTGCCTCTTCTCGAGAAGCAGGCCAAGGAGAAGGGCCTTTCCAAGTTGATGGAGCGCGTGCGTGCCCAGCGTCTGAAGGAATACTCCGAGGGCATGGAGATCTTGCGCAAGACAGGATCACCACGATTGGACTCCTACTACGGCGAGCTGGTCACCTCCCGCAAGGGGATCATCAGCCTCAGACGTCTGCCCTTGACTGCGGACTCCGTCCGGTCGGCGATCAATGCGGCTGACCATTGGGTGTCGGCCAACACGCCCAGTACGTGTGCCCCCCCCCCCCCCCCCCCCCCCCCCCCCCCCCCCCCCCCCCCCCCCTCCTCTATCCCCCCCCCCCCCCCCCTCCCCTCCCCCCCCCCCCCCCCCCCCCCCCCCCCCCACCCCCACATCCTTTTTTTCCCTTTCTTTTTCTTTTTTTTTCTTGTTTTCTCTTTTCCTCCAAAGGGAGGAAGGGGCAGGGGGCGTGCTCTTGGTCTAGAGCCGGAGGGCGGCCTGGGGGGGAGTTTCCGCCACCGGCTTTCCTCCTGCGTCGCCCACAGTGTATTTGGACCTCCGGCAGGAACAGGTGTACCCAATCAAAAGGGGCAGGGTGAGGGGCGTGTGTCTGTAATGGGGCGGGGACACAGGGAGCCACTTTAGGCACCATACTTCGGGCTGGCGCCGGCCATGAACAGGAGTTCCGGCAGCAGCCGGACCAGGGGGGCCGTACCGTTGGATGCGTTGTGTTCGAGGGCCAGCACATGGGCCAGGTCAACGCCAGCCGGCGGGGTGGGACACGGGGCCGTTGGCCCGCCGGCGGCCTGAAGCAGGGTGTCGCAAAAGAGGCGCCCACGGCGCGTGGACCGGGCCGAATCGACCACCGACACGGCGAGGCTGGGTGGCCGGCAGGGGGAAGCACATGGGGAGGGAGCAAATGATGGCAGGTGAGATGTTGCCCCCCCCGGGGAGACACTGGAGGTGGCGCTCTGGTCAATGTACCTGTCCACTTGGGAGAACACCCCCCCACTGAGGCCAGCGCTCTGGCGGGGGAGGAAGGGCAGCGGGGATGCCGGGCCACCGGGTGCCACCATGCCGGGGCAGCCTGGCCCCGACTGGAAGACCAGCGCCCGAATCAGCCCGGAGAGGTAGCCCTCAGGCGGGCTGGCCTCCGAGGGGAGAGCCGCGAGCAGGGCATCCGCAGCCGGGAGACTGCCGGTCAGAGCCAGAACCACCGCCGGGCCGGTGGCCCCCTCCTCGGCGCAAAGATCGGCCACCTGGGCATGGAGGAGCATGCTGGTCGAGGCCACCGGGGCCAGCTTCACCGTCAGCCCAGCCGGCATCAGCTCGGACAGGATGCTCAGCAGGGCAGCCACCGCGGCAGCACGAATCCCCAGCCCCGGGTCCAGGACCACGGTCACGGCGGCCGGCCGGGATGGGGCCTCGGTGTCGCACTGGAGCTTGCCGGTGCTCGGGTCAGCGCGGCAGCCAAGCAGCTGCGTCAGCATGGTGGCCCAGCCATCGGGCAGCGAGTCGCTGGCGGCGGTCACCGGGCCGGGGTGGATAATCGACCGCAGGGACAGGCCACTGCGCCAGGCGGCCGGCAGCAGCCAGCCCCCAGCGCCGGGGGTCTTGAGCGCTTGGGTGTGGGCGCAAACCGAGCATATCCCGCTGGGCTGGCAGGGCTCCGGGAGAACGGCCACCACCAGCGACTGCCGGGTGAGGAAGGTCATGGTGCTGCGGGCGTCTGAG